GAGGGGGAAGATAGTTAAACATTTTCTTCAACAGAAATAAGTTTCCATCAAAGATCTATGTACGTATGAAACTTCAGCTTTCTATTTTGAAAGGCATAGAACTTTTGTAAACATTTCCACGGGCAAACGGACTGACCGAGTGAAACTATTAAGCCCTTCTTTTTAAAGTTTTTTGGAAAAAATAGCTTAAAATTAACAAAATAAAACTATTTTCCTAACAAATTTTATTGCTAAACAATTCTAATGGTTAAAAGCCACAAATCCTCCTTAGGTATGCCATGAAAATATTTGAATTTTAGAAGATAAAATTGGAGATAATGCCAGTTATGTAAAAATTGGTGCAATTTCGGCTGAATATCTTCAATATTGGTATTCTACTATAAGAAAATTTAAATAAAAATTTGCTTTATTACAAGAAATTGGAAACAAAACCTAAATTGCGACTTAATCTTACTATTTTAAGAATTGATCACATTTCAATAAATCTATATTGTCCTCAGTTTTAAAATTTTTCAAAATTATTTTTACTCTTATTCCTATAATCTCTTAAAAAATTAAATTTGCGTCAATTTCAAAAATCAAATTTAAATTCGGAAAAGATGTTAAAATTTACCAATAAATGGAGAAAAAAAAAAACATTAATAGCAAATAAATGAGAATGAAATGTTTTTTACCATATTTAAGATTTTTTAAAATTCAAAAATATTTTAAGGTTTGTACGCCACATATAGACATACATACTCGTATATGTATATATACACAGGTTACCCTAAATTTTTTCCAAATATTTGTAATTTGTTTGTAAAGATGCGGTTTAAAAGTACTTAAAATTATTGAAATTGCGTTATGAAAACTAAATGATTTTTGATTTCTGAATTTTTAAAAGTTTTATTTTACAGGATACTTCAATTATTATTAAAATTAAAGGGATATATGAGAATACTTGTATATAATCTAGGAAAAATAAATTAAATTGTAGAGAAGATTTTTAATTTATTCCAAAATTAAATCTTCAAATTCCTATAAAAAATTTTATTGCTCCGTCTGTGAATCGTTATTAATTCATATTAGTTTTGTTTAAAGAAGACACAATTAAACCCCCCATTAATGGGGGCAATAATATAAGCAAAGTTAACATTAATTAATTAGACATTAAATTTTGCCACTGATGAAAGATTAAAACGCAGGAGAGTTTTAATTTAAGAAAATATTGAGCACGAATCATACTATTTAAATGTAATCTTTGTCGCAATTAGAAGGCGTATAAGTAAAATATACGGGAATAATCGCTTAAAAAAAATTTATTAAAATATTTCAATCTTAAATTCAAGGTTTCTAATATAAATTTAATTTACTGCTTAATATTATAAAAACGTAATTCTTTTATATCATCAACTTTCCGAAAGTAAGTATAATAATAATTAGCAAGACCAACAAGTCTACTATATGTTTTATCAGGATTTTCTAAGAATAAGAACAATATTGAAATAATAAATCTATTATAGAGTAAAATTTAGTAGGACGCTACTGAACATTTTATTAATTTTTTCCTATCTCATACATATACAATATGGTTAGTTACATGTACCCATGTATGTGTAGTGTACACATATAATTATCTACATTAAATTCAATAAAATTAATTTTGAAGTCTCTTGTTCGAAATGTGTTTTTGAAAGCTCTGTATGTGTTTTTATGTACAAATAATAAATAATCAATAAATTTCTTATTAATTTACTCTTACATTCACAATACTCACACTTAAATTATAATAATATACTTATATATATAAATAAAGAAATAATTCAAATTTTTTTTTTTAAAAAATTAAAAAAAATTTTCTAGATAATATTCTTGACCTCAAATATACTTCACACCGTAATGAAGACCTTAAAAAATATTTCATAGTATATAGTTGCTCTATATGCCAATGTATATGTGAGGACGGATAATTTGTGCTTGTTTATATACGTATTACAAATAAAGAGGATAGTCCAAGTCCCTAGATCATTTATAACACCAATATAAATAGAATAAAGTGTTTTTATTATGGCTTGTTTTTCTGCTTTTTTTTATATAATATTCTTCTATATACATACATATATACATTAAGGATTTCATTTTTAATTTAATGTTTTCATCTCCTTGTCAGAAATTATATTGATATATCAATATTTTTATCTTACATATATATATATTCAGGTATAAATGACATTATGTACTCGAAATAAAATTGAATTTATAGTACCCCTAAAAGTATGCAATTTTATATTACAAATCAATTTTTTAAGGTAGCTATCCCAAAATAAAATTTTTTATCCCATTAATAGATTGATATGATCTCATTATAGAGAGTATTTATAATAAATTTTAAGAGAACTTAAAATGAAATACGGTACCTCTGAAAGTATTCCGAATAAAAAGGGAGTTTTCTTTTCATATACCTAAAAAAAAAATTATATTTCGAAAAAATTATCAACCATTGAAGAATTTTTTGAATTAGTCATTATCGTACTTAAAATTAAATTATTATTATTTTACATAGGCAATGATATGACATAAAGCGTACAACAGAGGCACATTCAATTATGAAATTCAAATTTTTGACCAACTTATACAAACTTAATTAAATATATTTTTTTAATTACGGTAAATCTTAGTGTATTAACTTAAAGTTTTCGACCCCAGATTATGGGTAATAAGAACTGGTACCCAAGCACGATTTTCTTCTGTTTGGAAATCTTAATATTCTTAAATTATACTACCTAATGTGTTAATTGTAATATTATATGTTCCAGTACAGTAATCCCTCGGATAAAGTAACATCGAAATAAAAAACTCGAAATCATTTCTTCATGTAGAGGCCTTCAAATCTCGCTAAAAATCTATTTTATTTATAAACAAGCCACATTTGTTAGAATAAAATTTTTGTTACATAAAAATTAGGTTACATAACGTTAAAGTTACATAATGTATAAACCTCACTTTGAGTCATTTTGTTTGTAGTCGTAAATTATTTTCAGCCTTCAAAACCGTATTATAAGCAAAGGATTACTGTATTTTGTATATTAGAATAAATTTATCAAGAAAATGAAGACGAAATATGTAAGCAAAAACCAGTAAAGCACTTAACTTTTCCATTAATTTTTTCTTCATTTATGAAATTTGTGCTTCTATACATTTTTTTTTTCCTTCACTGATCTTTTATTAAACTACTAAAGATTATAAACATTCCCACAATAAATATCGATTGAAATATATTTGTATAACACAAGTACCTATATATTATATATACTTGTATGAAAGCCATTATAAATTTTTAAATTCTAAAAAGTACCAAGATATTTTTGAACATTTCAAATACTTAAATGAAATTTCTCGTCTGATATCTTTGTGATACATAAGTTATTACATTATGACATAAGTAAAATATATAATATGAGTAAAATGTATATAAAATATAATTTATTACATGAAATGCAAAAAAAATAATAAAAAATGAAGAAAAATTTTTAAGAATTTTATTTATAAAAGGAAAATTCTTAATTTTGATTTTAAAGATGTAGCAAATGCGACCATCTTTGTTTTGTAATATCTAAATTGTTAATTTTATGTCTACCTACATTTGAGGCGTTCAACACATTAGTGGCTTTCTTTCAAAAATCACATTTCAAGTGAATTGCGATAGAAATATTTAAATAGTTATTTTTTAAGAATATTTTTAAAAGGCAAAAATGAACTTATGTCAAAATAGATCAAAAAGAGGACTAAACTAAGTATAATTGAAAATATAGAACAACTTTTCAGACCATTACAGCTCTATTGAACATAATAACTCATTTTTGTAAAAATGTTGTATAGACCACTAATGTGCTGAGCGGCTCATTTGTGAAACATATTTGTTCTTTCTGTACTCCTAAATTTTGTATAATATTCTGTATAACACTTATGTCGTCATTCACTGTACATATACTGTGTAATGTGGATGTAAATAAAAATTTGTATGTATACCAAAAATTGCGTCGTATACATCTTTTATTTTCACCCAAGATTTTAGAAATATTATAAATCACAACTCTGTGTATTCACTATATATTTTGTTGGGATTTATGGAAATGGAGAAATTTCCTCATTCACCATATGTGGTTAGAATTCCTCTCACCAAAATGTTTTTAGAAATTCATTATTTATTAAAAAAAATTATTTAAAAATTTTTAAATACATTCATGTCATTATAATTTATTTCACTCAAATTTTTACAAAACACTAGTAGAAAATCGTCCCGAAAGGATTTTAATGTATATACTCCACTCTTACTGTTCTAAATTTTATTTAAAATCTGTTAATGCGAAGATTTTGTAAACATATATCCGTATATGTATAAACTCATTCAATTTTCAGTTTAATTTCATACTACATCACCTTGACTGTTATATTCTACATAAAATCATGTATTGAGAGTCCTTGATCTCTTATACCATAATCAGTATAACTTATATAACATAATCATGTATTATGATTTTTGGTTTTTTTTTCTCAGAAATATTTAATATTATCAATAAAATTTTTCAATTTAATATCCATAAAATGTTTAAATTCAATTTGTACCGAGATATTTAAAAAAAAAAAATAATAAAAACTAAAAAAACTGACAAGAACATAATTTTTGTCTGTCTGCAAGCAAATTAAATTGAAATGTTGAAAATCTCTTAATATTTAAATAAGAGAAAATAAAAAAGTTTTGAGGAGATTAAGTTGAGAATATACAAACACATAGCACATAATGTTTAGTTTTAATTTAAAAATGAGAATTTTTCTTTAACATTATTGTGAACTCGAGTACTTTTTGGTTGGGATTAATTTAAACACATGTTTGGATTATTTAAAAAATTTTTCTATAAAATTTGATTTTCAATTGTTTAATTATTATTCAATTTAAAATTAGTGACTTAATGCTAATATGATATTAATTAAAATATTTATTTTTTGTTTCTTTTCAGGTAAGTGATGAATTTCATAAAACGGAAATTGAAGTAAAACTATTTTTAAGGACAATGGTAATATTAATTTTTTTTGCGTGACTTCATTAATTTTACGTCTACAATTTCAATAAAGAAAATTTTAAATAATATTTTAATGAAAATTATGCAAAATTCCAACTTAAAATATTTAAAATTATTGAAAAATCTATTATAGTAGTTGCTAAAATCTAAATTGCTAGTACTTTTGAATTGAATTTGTTGACAATCAGAAATGCTCTCTTAAAAATACCCGCTTGCTTTACTTCTCTAATGCTAAATGGCTTACTGAAATTTCCGAATTGTTTTAAAAATAGTGCAAATTTAAATGGAATTTCAACATTTCATATTAATTTATTACAAAACCTAAAATTTAATTTCAAAACCTTGAAAAGAATTCAAAAATTTTGTTCTTAAAAATGCAAAAAAAAAAAATTGTTAAAAATCAAAAACACATTAGAATTATTAAGGTAATCTACATAATTGCAATTAACAAATTCAAGAACTTATTTCAGCAATGTCTTGCAATTTGTTGTTAGTTTCTCTAAAATTTCCAAAGGTTTTGAAATAAAATTTTCTAATTAAAGCAAATTAAAAGAAATGACCATTTTCAAATACAAAAAAATTCTGATACTCAAATATTTTTAATGCTGCACGGGAAATTTTCCATAGGATTTAACTTTCAGTTTTTAATTATGAAATCTAGTTAAACTCATTTATACGAGGTAGCAGGTAAATTGGCATAGCGTCATTTTTGCTGCCATGCTTCAAAAACAAAAATTCTGATGAAAATCAGTAGATAATTTGCAGGTTAAAAAAAATCAGCCAGAAATAATTTTTTTTTCTTTATGGCAATTTATCTTTAATATTTTTTTTTTATTATTAATTTTCAAGTATTAATTTTACTAATATTTTTTACCGTTGCAATTTTGTTTACCATTAAAACATATCGAAATATTTTCCATCCTTTTTTATGTTACGTGAAAATCTTTTTTGTCTAATAAAAATTTTTTCAACAAAAAATTTGTTTTTTTCCCAATATCGAGAAGCAACAGACATAAAAAAAAATTACAAAAAATATGAGAAATTTGAAATAAATTGAATTTTAATTTTATTTAAATTCTTCATATTTTTGTTTACCGAAAATGTAAAATAAGTAAAAAATAAAGTTGGGTCAAACCAATGGTTTGTATTGTAGCACTTTTCCCTTCAACAAGAGAAAATGCTGCTTTTAAATACAGTCTATGTATACCTATCACACTATTAAAATTATTTTCATTCTTTAGGATGACGCATATATGCAGTCTTTGAAATAAAGCAAAAATTAATATAAAAAGGGGTTAACACAATGCTCGATTTTAAGGGTTAATTGTGTGAGTTAAGAAAAATAATTATATTTTTTAATTTCATGGAATTTACCGTTAGCTTTTTGCGTTTATAAAAATTTGGAAAAGCTTGCGGTTTCGGAAATATAAGGTGTCAAAAATTCAAATTTTACGAATTTCAAGAGGTGATAATTTGAGAGGGGGTGGAGATGGAAAAAAATTTTCTTCTAACAAAATGAACTATTTGTTAATATCTAAAAGCTCCTAAAATTTCAAGCTTCTGCAGTCTGGGGTCTAGAAGAAAAACGACATCAAAAATTTGGAAAAAAAGGACTTTAGATAACGGTAAATTTGAACGGCCATTTTGTTTTTCTAAAGTTTAACTATAGCACACCGCGCAAGGGGAAGCAAGCAACTGCCTTTCTGCGTTTGCAAAATTTCAAAAATGCTTATGGTTTCATTGCAACAAATATTTAAAAAGGGCCATTTCTAGGGTTTTGGGGGGGTATAACTTCTAGAGGGGGGGAGATAGGTAAAAATTTTGTTCTACGGAAATAAGTTTCTAGTGAAGATCTATGTACGAGTTAAATTTCAGCTTTCTATCTTCAAAGGTGTAGAAGTTTTGTAAACAAAAAAAGTGTCCACGGACGGACGGACGGACGGACGGACGGACGGACGGACGGACGGACGGACGGACAGAGTGAAACTAATAAGCACTTTTTTCAAAAAAATTTTTGGAAAAGTGCTAAAAAAGAATGTTAAATAAATTAAAATTAAAAACACATTTAGGCCAGGAGCTGATTTTTTTGCTAAACGTTTTTTTTTTTTCATTTTATTATTAAAGAATTAATGGGAAAAATTTATCGGAATTTTTTTCTTCAATAAAAACTTGTTGTTATTAATCCCAATAAATATTTTGAAACTTTTGAATTTTCATGTACCAAATTAATATTCGCAAATATTTCATTAAAAATTTTTTTTTTTCTTAATTAATTTTAAGAATATTTTTAAAATTTCCCAATTTTTCACGTCGAATTTCCCAATTTCGCACGGTATGGACGTCCTTCTCCGTCGTAAGATGGCGTAAATAAATTATTTTTAGCAAGATGTTACTCTGTCGATTTTAAAGAAATTTTATTATGTGAGCTTACTTAAGCAATGTCACGAATTCACTATTTTTTTTTGGATATCTTAGATCTCGAAAACAGAATTTGCGTTAGAGTTCAATTTTACATTACGTTGACCATATTTAAGAAACTATTTGGCGAAATTTATTAAAGTTTAATATTTCAGTTCGGTTGGTTTCCGGAAGTAACTGACTACAGTTCTGTTTGTAACCGGAAATAATTGACTAACATCTTCGAAATTTGAAAGAAATATAAACAAGTAATTTTTTAGACAATACATATTTCGCCTGGTCATATTCTGACAATATCAGATTTTTTAAATTGTATTCAATTATAAGAATATTGGCAAGAAAAATTTAAAGCAAGTTTCCTTTATAATAGTAAATTACACGTACTGGGTACTAGTCGGTTATAAATTTTTTTAAGCCGCAGTTTTATAGCTTTCGATTCGTATTTCATAAAAGGGCCTTTCCCCCTCAATTATTTATTGTAGGCACACAAATTTAGTCAACTTTATTTTTAATCACTTTGTCCAAGTTAACCTGTAAGTAAACTGGGTTAAATACTGGCATAAAATACTTTAATTAAATTACAAAGCAAATACCTAAAAAATAATAAAAAAAAAAATGTGACAGATATTATTTTATAGCGAATTTAATATTTTTTGTCCATTTAATATAAAAAATTTTTGTTGATGGCTTGCAGTAATTTTTAAATTTCATTTTTTTTTCTGCCAAAAATTTATTGAAAAAAATTTATTTTTGTCTTTTCTAAATTTATTAAATTAATTGAAAACGTTCCAAATTTTTTTTTTTATTTATTTAATTATGGGGCCAGTAAGAGGATTTTAAATAAAAAAAAAAAAACAAAAAAAATTAACAAAATTCAGAAATAAAAAGAAAGTCGAAAAATTAATTAATAAAAGCTTTTAAAAATTCCAAAAACAATGAAATGAAAAAAAAAATTAAATAATAGAGAATGAAAACTATAAGTAGTTAAAATACCCAATTAACGTAATTGAAAAATTTGTTACTATTTTAAGCGCATTATTCATTTTATTTGAAATCAAAAAAAGAAAAAACCGAGAAACTGATGGAAAAAAAATTAAATATTAAAAGGTACTTTAAATATTCGCTAGGCTACACATAGTAAAAATTTGGGCAATTTCTACATTTATACATTTGTATGTACAAATAAGACATGTATATAACGGGCCTATGTACATATTTAAATTTCAATTCGATTTTGTAATTTTAAATTCACTCATTTTCTTTCAGTTTACCAGTATTAATAGAGCAATTTTTATAAATTGTTGTAAGAATTTATTTTTGATATTACTCAATTTTATCCATTTCGTTTACCCCTTAATTAATTCTAAAAGAAAATTAAATGGTACTGGGTATCAGGGGAAAACATTAATAATATGAATATTTTTGATATTCTCTTATTTTGTTAATATTCGTTTGAGTGGAACTTTTGGTTTTACTGTCAATAATTCTGTTCATTTTAATAAACTGGATATAGAGAGAATCTTTCTTTTTATTATAATATACCTTAGAGTTTTGAAGCTCCTATTCTCAATGACCACTTGTAATATTACAGTACAAAATTTATGAGTTGGAATTAATGAGTAACTTATTTTGAATTTCTTATATTCTACAAAAATCGCCTTAATATTGGCATGAATATTCAATTGTGTCCTATGGGCATAACAATGTCAAAAATTTAAAATAATTTTTTAAATAATAATAATACTAATTGGTGTTTTTATCTTAAATTTAATATTATAATAAATTTTAGCGAATTTTAGGTTACAATAATAGAATACTTATAGACCTTTATCCTTGCTCCTCAATTAATACAGCTATGATAATTGATGTGGTAGCTATAAAATTTGATTTGTATTACAAAATATTCATTAGGCTAAAAACATAAAACTCAAATTCACAAATCGAATAAATTTTTATAAAATTTAATATCACTTTTATTATAAATTGTAATTGTGTATTTTAATACTGCTTTCATTTAACAATTTCTGTCATTTTAAATTACAAAAATTTTTATATGAAATTTAAGTTTGCAATAATAAATTGGTAATTCATGTGTAAAATTTACTAAATAACTGAAACCATTTTAGATATTAATTATATTAAATAATAAAAATTAATTGCATTAGATTTAAAATTTAAAATAGAAAAAAAACTGAAAACCAAAAAAAAAAATTAAACTTTTGAAAGTGTTTTTGCAAAAATTAGCAATATTGTCTTTAAGCATTCAGCAGAATATTTAAAATAAAAGTTGCTTTTATTTTATAGTTTCTACAGCAACACACCACCAATCTTTGTGAAGCACTCACTTGCATGATTTTTACAACTATCCTTTAAATATTTAAAAAATTAAGCCATAAATTAATCACAAAAAATACTATGGATTGACGTAATAAGGGCCTAATGGCCTCTGTCATCCCTACTGAAAAAAAAACAGTCATAAATTGGACCAGTTTTAATTAGGCGAATTTGTAATATACTGATAATGCAATTATAAAGCTTCACAAATTACTG